TATAATAACTTAATGACTTTAATAGAGACTCATGGGACATTACCTCATTTATCCAGTAGTCAAATGGAACAGCTTTCTAAAAATAGTTGATTAGGAGACAGATTAACTTAACAGTAAGGCTTAGTTTGTGCCAAATAGATCTGTATTAATCCATGCAGCATTTGACTTCCTATGAGTGACCAATCACTATCTTCAGTAAGTGCACACTTTTTTGTTGTATTTTGTGTCATGCATATTTTATGCACTGGTAGTAAATGGCTAAATGATTTAGAAGCTCTCAGATAAATGTCTTTTTTTTGGATGCTTACAAATTGTATTTTTTTTGGAGCAGACATCAACAAATTTGTATAAAAATATTCAAAAAGATTTAATATCAAATATAAAAATATGTAGTATCATCCCAAACCTATGTTATTGGTTGAATCAATGTAGCTGTGTTGAGCTGGTTGGGATAATCAAACTCCACCGTTTTGGTAAATACTGCAAAATATTAAAATATTACACTAAAATTAATTGTTTGCATGCTTACAATACATTTGCAGCTGCTATGGGCTCCATGGAAGAAGAGCACACATGCCCCATGTGTCGTGACCTGTTTGGTCGAGCTCACCCCTTTCCCTGCGGCCACAGCTTTTGCCTGGCCTGTGCGCAAGAGTCCTGGAGCCAGAGTGCCAGCTGTGGCAAGCGAAGATTTGTATGCCCACAATGCCTGGAGGAGCATGGAGTGGTGGTATGTGACTGCTGTCCAGAAGACAGAGGTGATGAGGCCCAAGCTGCAGTGAAGACCTGCCTGCGATGTGAGGTCTCTCTGTGTGAGCAGCATCTGCAGCCACACCTGCTGCGTCCTGCTTATAGCACTCACCTGTTGGTGGAGCCATTGATGGACGTATCCCACCACAGGTGCCCTGCCCATTGGGAGATATTCCAGTATTACTGCATGGATGATATGGAGTATGTCTGCCCAGACTGCATTTTGGAAGGACGACATGCTCAACACCAGGTCAAAGGGGTGAGAAAAGTCGAGGAGGAATACAAAGTAAGTCATTAGATCAATTATACTGTTGTTTAAGAAAAGGTCCTGTTGTGGGATTTAATTATGGTCCAGGACTGTTCACACTGAACTTTACACCAGTTTATTGTCTTTTTTAAAATCATGCTTTTTAACCCAGAGTAAAGCAATGTTTCAGAGGCCATTCACACAGAATGTTTCGAAAAATGCAATGTCGTCCGTAGGGTGCATGTTTAGAACACTAATGGAAAAGTTGCACAGTGGAATGCAAAAACTGTAAACTTCTGTGTGAATGGCCCCTCACTCTTGTCATTTTGAATTTTGAAAGGGAGCTGGCACCACTTCTAACCCTGGGTTAAAAGGTGCTCCTTTTCATGGTGCTAAGAAGAAACAGTCCTTTACCAACAAGCAACCAATCATAAACTGAAAAATGATTGCCTCATTAAATATTCATGCACTTTATACCATCATAAAAACTCTGTAAACCCAGGGTTCAAATTTAAAAAGCTCTTCTGTAATGTGTTATAGGTCAAATTACAGAGCCTGTTTGAGAAATCAGAAGAGAAAGTAAAGCAAGGTGAAATGATGCTTCAAGAACATCAGAATGCTTGTCGCAGCATACTAGTAAGTTTAAGCTTCTTTGGGATTTCAAATTCAATTAAACTAAATATTCCTAACCTGAAATATAAGGACTACAGGTTTTCATAACTGAACGCAACATGCATGCATTACATATTCTGTGTGTGTGTGTATTTCAGGAGGACTCTGCTGTGAGTGATGTCTCCCAGGTTTTACAGATGGGCTCAGCCCTGCAGGCTCAGGTGGGCCGACTAGTGTCAGCTGTGATAAACATCACGGAACAGGAGAGACAGCAGGTCATGGAGAGGGTGCAGGAAGACTGCAGGAGGGTGAGAGAAGATCTGAACCAAACTGAGAGCATCCACCTGCTTTCTCAGCTCCCTGCTGGACGAGAGTGATCCCTTCCTGCTAATCTGGGTATGAGGACGTACTTTAATATTTTCCTGATTAAATGCATATCAAGCCTCATTTACCATATGCTGATAACAAAACTATGATATTTTATTAGTTAGTATTTTATGTTTATAAATATGTTCTATTTAAAGAATGCATATGTGTTCTATAAATACATTCTATGAAAATAGACAATAAAACAGGCAATAAAGTAGACATTTTAAACTCTACATTTTAAACTCTTATCAAATATGTTTACATAAAAACGTCTACTGTAATACAGTAAAAGCATGTTTTGTGTAAATTTGATTTGATAAGAGTTGTTGCAACATTATATGCTATAAAGGGCATTGTAAGACAGTTTATGACCAACATTAAACATATACAATGTTTTGGCATTGAATAATTTCTCTGACTGTACAAAACATGGATCTTTACATAAGTCACTTAGCTTAAAATAGATTAAAATGACTTAAACTTCTGCCACCGTTCATAGCAATGATAACATTTCACAGGCATTCCAGACAGAGGATTCGCAGTAAGTCGTTAGATAAACTGTGATTGTTTTAGTGAGTGTCAGAGAAATAACTTGTGATTTGTGAGTGCAGTTGTATGTTAGTTTGCATATGAACAAGAATGTAAGTTTTACTGTATTAGTTGCTCTGCCTTGCAGGATGATGGCAGATCTCAACTCACCTCTGTTCACACCACCTCAGCCCAGCATGGATAAGAAACGTGTCTTAGAGAATGTGGAAAATAAATATAGGGAATTCATAGCTGAGACCCTGCGCTGCCTAATTGAACTCAAGAGAGATCTCTGTATGTATTATCATTCATACATTACACAATGGGCACTGATCCTAGGAACATTTGGATTTTTTAAGTAATATTATTCTTACTATTGATTCTCAGCTAACCTAAGCGTGATTCTAATCAATATTTTGTAACACTTTACTGAATACTGTTTTTGAGCAGTATTGCTTCATTTGCCTTATTTAATAGTGACATCTAGTGGCTACATTTCCAATGGCTGTTTCTCTTTGTTATTTAGTAAGCAGCCCATTAACCTTGGACAAAAACTCAGCCCAACCTCTCTTAAATATTTCTGAAGATCTGCGGACAGTGATGAGGGTCAAAACCCGCTTGCCTGTCCCTGAGCATCCTGACCGCTTTGACCACTGGTCTCAGGTGGTCTCCTGTCAGATATTTTCTTCAGGAACCCATTACTGGGAGCTGGAGGTGGAGGGTTTCTGGGATATAGCAGTGACCTACCACAGCATTGGGAGAAAATCAAAAGAGGGCACAGCCTTTGGCTGCAACAAGGTACATTGTTAACCTAATGCACAAACTTTTTAATGCCAAATATGATGATCCCTTCTGTGACCAAATTCTTAAAATAAAAATGCACCCATATATTTTCCTGCATAAAGACCCTAAAACAGATTATAAATGTGTAAAATATAATCAGAAAAATGTTCATTTCTATTAAGTTGATGTGTTTGTGTGTGTGTGTGTCAATAGAATAAAAATTTGATTAATCTAATGATTTTTGTATTAAGTATTTAGACAGCAGAATGAAATGATAATTGTCATATTTAATCTATTTTAATAATAAATATTAGTAGTTGTACTAGTAGTAGTAGTATTTAATTATTCCAAAGTAACATTATTTTTTATTTATTTATTTTTACACAACGTTTCTCTGAACTTTTCTCAGAAAACTGATCTTAAATAAAATTATATAAAAACTGAATTTGTTTATTATTCTAGTCATATCATGTCAGAGGCCTAGTCTGTTTTATATTTGAATTCATTATGTCCTGTGCGTTATGATTTTCTGTTATCTTACTCAGATATCCTGGAGCCTGACACAGCAGCATGACAGGAAACTTGCTGCCTGGCATAACCGAAAGAAAACCCACCTCTCCACAAAAATGTCTGGCAACCATTTAGCAGTCACTCTGGACTATGATTCTGGCTCCATCACCTTTTCACAAGTAGGTTCGTCATCCACCCTGCTCCCTCTGCACAGTTTCAGCACCAGATTCACCCAGCCCGTCTGCCTAGGCTTTGGCCTCTACAAACCAGAGCTGAACAGCAGGGAGAGAGAGAGAGAGAGAGAGAGAGAGAGAGGTGAAGCTGGCGGAGTGGGTGGGAAGGGGAGGATCTTGAGAGACAGGATGAGTAGGAAGATCTGTAAGCTGTCAGATTCAGTTTTTCTCTACAGAAGCTTTAACACTTTGCATCATTACGCCTGGGAAACCGAGGGACAGCCCACTAAATCAGGTAATTTTGCAATTTTTTTCTTACTACAAAAGCTTATAAACTTAATCTTATGTTACTCCCTAGGAAAGAAGCTTTATTAAAATATTGTTTAGTACACAAAAAAATTCCATAAAAAATAATTTATTTTTAGTTTTTTTTTTTTATCTCGTTTTCCTGGAAAATATCTAAACATGAAACCTAAAACCTCACTTTATTTATTTTTTATTAGATTTATGCTTTAATAAATACAACCAATTTGCCAGTAAGGTAAGAAAAATAAAACGAATTCATGGTCATAAAGTCTTTTTATTGTACACAATTTTGCTTCTCAAGTTAAGAAATAATAAAGGATATTTAGATATTTTTATAAGGGAACAAGGCAAAATGCATGCTGATTAGATTTGTTTTTTTTAGTGCTATAAAAAGATTTTAAATAACCTGAAATTATAAATAATGTGTTAAAATTTTGTGTGAGTGAAGTTTTGTGAAGAAAATAAAGATATTGGTTTGTGAAAAAAGTGGATAGCATTCAAGGACAGCACTGAGCAGAATTAGTTCTTATTTAAAAGTGCACAAAATTGAGTTTCACTCAAGACCAGATGCAAAGAAAGTTGACCTTTGTAAATGTCATTGCTTCATAAAGACTATAAACATGACTTGAATAGTAAATGAATGTGGTGATCTGTGCCAATTTAGACCTGATATAGACATATTTTAGTTCAAATTCCGAGATGTACATTCTTGGGTTTCGGGACTTTGCATATTGTTGCCGTTTTAGCGTGCCAAGGCACTGAGGAGAGAGAGGAGGTTCGGCCAATAAGCACAAGCACAGGAGAGAGGTCCTGCATGTTGTGGAACGTCAGGAGGGAAGTGAGAGCGTGTTGAAGACAGATGGTCTCTCAGTGGAGTTGTTCTTTTTTCTGTCTCTTGTTCTCACTCTCTCCTGGATGCTGCTCCCCTCAGCTGAACGGGATCCAAAGTGTTACCTCATGATCTTCATCCTTCACTGCTCCTCTTCCTCCTCCCCCACACAAGCATACCTGTTGGCTTGCAGAGCTCCTTTTATCCTCTCCCTTTCTCTTTGTCTTCTCACAGGTTGGCTATGATGATGGATTTTTTTGTCGGGATGATGAGAAACCTCTAAGTGTCCTTGCCTTTGGTCCCCTACAGGCAATTCAACAAGCACAGACGTAGATCTTCATCAGGAAACTGTGACAGATGGGAGGATGACGACAAAATAGCTAGAGAGAGAGAGAGTATAAGAGTAAGTGAGGGTGAAAGACAGAGTCAAGGATTTAAAGATCTATAACTTTTACAATAGCTCATAACATCACGGATTTGTGGATCCTTCACTTATTTCTCCTCGGTTTCCAGAAGACGACCTACTTGATCAAATTGCAGGGAACATTTGCACCTAATTTCATCTGAGATATCATAAGCTATAATAATAAGACAATGCTGCCCAGCTCTGGGATGCCAATGCTGATACTAGCTCCACTTCTGCTAATTGGCCCTCTAGTGGTCATGGGGCAAAATGACACGGAGCCCATAGTGTTGGAAGGTAAATGCCTGGTGGTCTGTGACTCCACACCCTCTTCAGAACCAGCAGGTAACGCGCTGGGGATGTCCGTGCGTTCAGGTACTGGCCGTGTGGCCTTCTCCGCCACACGGCAAACCAACCATGAGCCCACAGACATGAGCAATCGCACCATGATCATCTATTTTGACCAGGTAAGCAATCTTTCCACATTAAAATACTTGCATGTAGTTTTGCTCTGTTTAATCAGTCAGTTTTTGTCAGATCTTGGTGAACGTCGGTGGTCATTTTGACCAAGAGAGCAGTATCTTCCTTGCTCCGAGACGAGGGGTGTACAGCTTCAACTTCCATGTGGTAAAGGCATACAACAGGCAAACCATACAGGTACATACTACATATTTTTTCTTGCACTCTTAAAAATAAAGGTTCTTTATTGGTAGACCTGTAACATCCACGACACCTTTCAATTGCACAAAAGGCTCTTTATAGTGGAAAAGGGATCTTCAGAGTTTTAAAATGTTCTTCACACTTTGAAAAAAATGGGTGATTTTATGAACTGTTGATTTTAAGAACTGTTCACTATGGTTCTTTGGGGAACCAAAGATGGCTCTTCTATGGCATTGCTGTGAAAACTTATTTTCCTATTCCCAGGTGAGTTTGATGTTGAATGGGTGGCCGATGATCTCAGCCTTTGCTGGAGACCAGGATGTGACACGAGAAGCAGCCACAAATGCTGGGCTTGTGATCATGGAAAGAGGGGACAAGGCTTACCTCAAGCTAGAAAGGGGCAACCTAATGGGAGGCTGGAAGTACTCTACTTTTTCAGGCTTCCTGGTCTTCCCTTTATAAAGATGACCATGTGAACAGCTGGGAGATGAGGGGAGAGAGGGTGACATGCTCTCTGGGGGTTTATTTTACGAAAATGGAATCCACAGAAAACATCATATTTGTTCTTCCTCTCTTTTTTTAACAGCAGAGCAGAGAAAATGCAGAAAATTAGATGTTAAATGTTATAATTAAATATATATTTTGTTATTTAAAAATACAATGAAGTATTATAATTAAATATTACTGAGAACCAGGTTTGAAGAGTGTTTTTCACTCTTTTTTGTAATGTGTATGGTTAAACTGAAAAAAAAAATGGCGTTACAGAAATACAATGAGACTGTCCTAATAATATATTTGAAATTATGTATTTCAGGGTTTTCCTTTTTTTTCTTTCTTTTTTTTTTTAACAAAATTTAATTTCTAAATTCCATTTTAATTAAAATATAGCTTAACGATTTGATGTGAGGTTTCTGTTTATCATATGTTTGCCTGATTACGGAGCTGTGTATGTATATTATAAAGCTTTGTAAAATAAATCTAATTAAATGGAAACCCTTGACTAAAAATCAAAATTCCTTCTTGTTCTGTGTGAAATGAAATAGCCTACGACTTGTCCTCAACCTGTGTTACTTCTCTGAATGAGGTGTTTTACCTCTAACAACAGCTGTTTGTAAATATAGCTCTCAGCATCAGAGCTGGCAAGGTTGACCAGGAATCATCACAGATAGCAGCATAGGCATAATGGATAACGGATATGAACTACAGTGGCACCAGTCGAGCAAAGGCAGATGGAGTTTTTGGCAGGCAGACGTGCAAGTATACACTGGACTCCTATGGACCATGCAGGGTGGGCTGTCACAGTCAATAAGTTACACTGCATTGGTTTAAAGACACACTTATTCACACATTCGGAACAAGGGAAAAAAGAGCAGGAAACAGATAAGGAGAGAGAGGAAAAGGAAACAGAAAGAAAAGAAAGAATTACGGATGTTAACACAGTATTCATTTATTTTTCTAACCTGTGAGCACTTTTTTTTGCATGCTACTCTAAGAAAGTAGGGTAAAAATTACATCAAAGACTGCTGTTTGTGATGTTTAAAAAATAATCATGTAAAATAATTTATGAGGATGTAAGCTATTTATCATTAATTTGTCCTAACACATATAATCCAGTATCCAGTGCACAATAAAAAGTGTGTGTGTTTGTGTGTGTGTGTGTATATATATAATGTTTAAAAATTAAGTAATAATGTATTTATAAAATACAATACATATTAACACACACACACACACACACACACACACACACATTATGTAAATGTTTGTTTTAATCACTATAATGAATAGTTAGAATATTATTGAACGTGTCTTTAACACCATCCACAAAGCCTGTTGTTTGTGTTTTAATCATGCTAAATTAATAAATTACTATACCCAAAAATGAATAATAATGTGAATATTATTTAGTGTTTTAACATCATACACATATTTTTGTGGTGGCATTTAAATTATATTTTTTATTTTCAATATGTTTTACATAGCAAGACCTCTCTTACATAACAGCAACAAATTCGAATCACGAATACCTTTGTATCCATCTATGACAAATAAATTATATATTATACTATAACATGCGAGTATATGTTTCATTTAACATCATAAGCTTTATTGGGACATTTGGATACATTTGCAAAAATTGCGTAAAGCTACGGAAATTATTTCCTTAACGTAAAATTATAATATTTTATTTTTCCTTAAATAGTCATAATAAATAAATGAATCCATTGCCGTTTAAATTCTAACAAGCGAGCATCTTGAATCGCGGTGATAACAAGTAGGCCGCATTTAGTGCAGCCACAACCAAACTACCCGTACGACCGATACCCATTAATGTCTCCCGCCCTGTAATTCCGCACACCGGAATGATAGACAACTTCTTCCACCAATGGAATGTGTGTCTTTTGACAGTCCCTCTGAGGATGGACCAATCAGCGGACAGCACTTGAGGTCGGGGGCTGAGCGTTCGACCTAGCGCTGGCAAGAAGTTAGTTCCTGCTATACGCTGGCCGTTTCCTGTAATCGTACAGTGTTGTGAGACGGAGAAAGCCATGTGTGTCGATGCAAAGGTAAATTTAGCACCCCGAAATTATTGCGGGGAAAGTTGGGGCAGTGGATGGCAGCGTTATTAGGGCATATTTTAGTAGAAAATACGCCCTGGCCAAGTCGAAACAGCTTTGCGGCCTTGTCCATGTCTGTTCGTAGTCGGGCTATGGTTTTTGTAGCACGTTGCCTTTGGTTTGGTCCGGTTTGTTGATGAGAGAGATTGAAAGAGAGTCCGAACGAGAGACGTATTGTGAGATGTATCGTGAATGATGGAGGATCTTTGATAAAGCTTAAATCGGCCGTCAGAGAAAAACAATATGATCGAGCACATATTTAGCATTTATAGCAATAGGAATCGCCCTTGTTAACATTGATGGGTTTGTCGGGTGCCTGATTTAGGATTGTTGTTCCACATTGATGGCAAGGCAAGGAAGGCGGTGTTGATTTCGGTTAACATAAATTATATGATTTCCGATGGACTAAAAAGAATATGACATTAGAGGTAATACAAATTTGCGCTCTTTGACTTTTAAAAACAATGTTAGGATACTCGCTAAGTGACATACTGTACAAGTCAGTCAGACATGATGCCATGTGAAGTGATGGCACTGCCATTTAGTAAGATGCAGCAACTATATAGTATTAATGTTTTAATTAATGTAAATTGTAAAAAAAATTGTCTTTTCCAGGGAATCATTACACATATTTATTGATGGATCTTCTAGAGCTCACTCCAACCAGACAAAAAGTCAAACGCAAGCAAAAAGTAACTCCAGAGAGTAGGAGAGGATAGACGAGAGGAAGAGAGAGAGTGAAGAAGGGTGAACCGGTGGACTCCCTCTTTTCCTGTTCCCCTCTCCCTGATAATTAATTTCAGGTAAGTTTACCTGTCAAACAGGAGACTGGAGATTACATATTAGCTCTGATAGTTGTGAATTTGATAGTGATGTGTGTGTATCTTTAACTTTATGAAGGTGCTTGTAGATTTTATTCTCAGTATATTATTTATATGTTTTGCATATTGATATACTGACATAGATATATACAGATACTTATCTAATGAGTGTGTATAATTGTGATTTCATTTATATTATGCATTATATTATGTGTGTATGTTGTTTTTAAGATATGTATAATAAATATAAATCTAAACAATGTCTAAAATAAATCTATAAATCCTAAACAATGTCCATTGATTTTTTTTAATTCATTTATTTAAGGCCAATTACTTGATTAATTTTGGCTGCATACATGAAACCCAGTAACTCCTTAATTATGTTATTACTTCATTAACATATGGGAAAAAAAGACTTGATGAAGGTGGTTACAGTTTTTCTCTCTTTTTTTTTTTCCTTTAACAGCATAATTGCAAAATCTCTTCGGACTTGTTGATGTTTTTGTACGGACACTGGATATCACACATTCTTTTCATTTTTTCACAAACTCTTTGACAAGATGGCAGACCCCATTATGGACCTCTTTGATGACACACCACTGTTCAATTTGGATTCCCTACCGGAGGATGCGTTCTCCCAGGGCTCCTCAGACCCAGTTGAGGAGGCGCTGAAGTTGGCACTGGGCCAAGTGGACCCACCTATGGACCCTACACCAGATCCTGGTGTCTCTGTGCTCAGTGATGTCACAGATCCAGCTCTAATCTCAACACCTGTTGCAGCTCCTGCCTCCCTCCCACTGCAGACCCTTCAAACACAGCAGCCCACCCAGATGTCCCATGAGGTTTCTGTTGCCCCGGCTTCAATTTCCATTCAGCCTTCTCTCTCGGTGGCCAGTAATAGCAGTGGGGCGGCAACGGTCCTGCTGAGCTCCCCTCTTGGAGTACCTGTGTCAGGGGCTCAAGTCACCACCCAGCAGCTGCAGACTCAGCAAATCGCTGTTACGCAACAGGCAACAGGACAGTCGGTCCCAAAAATTGTAATTTTCAAAGGCCCTCAGGGTCAGACTCAAGTGCTACAGGGTGTCACAGGAGCCACAGGCTCTCCAGGGAAAGTCACCCTCACTAGAGTCCTGACAGGGACCCCGCTTAGGCCAGGGATGGCGGTTGTTTCCGGGGGAACGGTATTAAACGCGACATCTCCTGGGCAGGGACAGGTCAAACTGGGCACTGGAGTCCAAAGGCTGGTTCAGACTCCAAATGGCCCGATGAAGCAGGTGTTACTGACCTCTGTGCCCCAGACTCAATCGCAGGTTCATACTCAGCCAGTCCAGGTACAGATACCTGCGCAGACGCAGCTCCAGTCACCGTCACAGCCAGCACAGGTACAGGTGCAAGTCCAGGTGCAGCCTCAGATGCAGGTGGCATTACAAACACAGGACCAAGTGTCAGCTACTACATCCCCTGGAACGACCATCCGACCTCAAGGTGTCACACTTTCAGCAGTGTCACAGCAGGTCAGTCTCTGCCAGGTTTATTATTGTTAATTAAAACTAAAACCAAAAAACAACGGTTTGGTTGCTTGAAATAAAATGATCTTAAACTTAAATAATAATTATAATAATTAATAATTCATATAAATTAACAAATATATAAGTTATATAATTACTAATTGTGTAAATTATAATATGATATAATATGTAAGTATTATACATTTTATATAAAGGTATTTCAGCTAGTTTCCTAGGCAGCATTTTTTTTTTTTTAACTTGAAGTGATAAAACAACTAAAGCTTAAAGAAAAATTATATTGACTTAAAAAAAAAAGATTATAAGTGACAAACACACAACAATATTACTAAAACTTTAACTACAATTAAAACAAAATATAAAAATAAAAACTAATTCAAAATATGAATAAAAACTAATGGTATATCGGTGATACTAAAATAACAGTTGTCTCTACGCTGTTTTACAAATTTGTAATTATTTTTGCTGTTAGAATCTTAATAGCTCTTTTATCTCTATTCAGGGGGAAGCAAAGAGGATCACTCTGGTTCTACAGCAGCCCTCGCAAGGTGGGGCCCAGGCTGGGACACTGACAGTAGGGGGAACTGCAGCTGCAGGGGCGGGTCAGCAGGGCCAGCAGCACAGGCTGGTGTTGGGCTCTCTGCCAGG